GTGTGTATCACGGTAATTTGAAGAGGTATTTCTGGTGTGGTGGTTGAAAGCTTTTCTGTTGAGCTATGAAAAAAAGTATACACTTGCGGGTGAATTTGATGATCGTGGCTGAAGAGGGCTTGAGTATAAACGATGTTTCAATGGAAAATATAATATTATATAAGCAGTTTTTTAAAGTCGGCCTCTGATAACACTTGTAGGTGCAGCTAATAAAGAATGCAAACTTCTTGATTAGTCTGTTCGTGCATTAGTTTGACATGGCCTATGAATCGGACGTAGTCTACACGCCTTCTAAACAACTGACGAAAAGCCGTTAGTATTACACAAGATCATTGGCAAAAAGATATTTATTCATCTGTTGTGAGCTCTACTTTCCATCTTCAATAACCGCGCATCAATCAGAAAATAATTGGTTGTTATCCTACTGCGGGAGAGTTTCTCTAAATTCTAAAATAGACGATGTTACGTCACTGCATGTACACAAAATACTTGTACTTTGTTGCCAGCGCGCCTACACGTAATAGTAGTCTCTAATTTATAACATGATCGGATTGATAATCCTCTGTGCGGTTCTCTATGGCTCTTACAAGACGAATCCGGACGCGGCTTCGTTCCGAGCTTTCATCCGTCCACCCAATTCAACTTCTTTAACAAGTAGCATTACCAATTTTTTCACAGATCTCCTGACTCCCGCAAGCACGATCCCCGAATTCAAACGGGACGACTATATATTCTTCTCAATTGTAACTATTGCAGATAATACAGAAACGTACATAGGTCTATGTGGACAGTGGTTTTTGTTGAGCAAGCTGCAGCTGGCCGGGGGAGGAAAGGGAGCGAGTGCAGTGGAGGAGAATGAACTGCAACTCCTTGAAAGTATTGGCGAAGCCGAAAAGAATCTAGCCATTAAGGCAAAGCTTAAGAAGGACCGTAAGTATCAGCAAGACAAGATACATTGTCTTTTGTACAAATTATATCTCCTTTAATGATATTAGTAGACGTTACATATGTTTCACTGCTTATTATTGAGATGCAAGAAGCGAATATCACCTGATGCCATATACTCGTTTGAACTAGATACAACCGCCGCATCTCATTTTAACTCGGCGGCGGAACAATTTTTGCAGACCGGCAGTGCTCTTGATGCTGCACAGTGTTACGAGGAAGTTTACAAGTCATATCAACAGTCGAAACATACAGGTGAGAGGACTGGGTGGGTAATCAACATGTCATTCTGCTATAAATCTGAATTCGATATACTTGCATTTTATACGTTGCATTTAGAAAAGGCTTTACTAGCTCTGGAGAAGGCAGCATCCTTGTATGAATCTCACGGTAGACAAATGTCAAGAGCGGCTAACGTGTATGTAAAGCTCGCTGAACAGTATAAAAAGGATAATAGTACGTCTAAAGATTTGGGCAAGGCAGTCGCTGTAAGAATCAATCGGTTTAACTGATACTCATTTTTGATCATAGAACAATATTATCTACATCTTTATTTATTATTTTAGATGTATGAAAAGGCAGCCGAGCTGTACGAGATTGAAGGAGATGGGTGAGTAGTCCGGGGGAAAGGGAGGAAATGACGTCGCGTTCATGTTACTTTGCTAAATTTAAAGTTTTTCTCTCGTGATAAAGTTATAATCTCTGCTAATGACATATTCTTCTTATTCGTTCACTCTATTGCTCCTGTTCATTCAGTCGTCACATTTTTACTGTAATTTCTCAAACCGACTTGCTGGCCGAGATAGGACAGTACGAAAATGCAATCAAATTATATGATAAGATAATATTGTTTGCAATAGACGATTCCATGTTGAATTTCAATGTCAAGACACACATCTTTAATCAATTGCTATGTTATGCCGGACTTGATGACTGGGTTGGGCTAGAAAAGAAGACAACGGAGATGGAAGCAACATATCCCATGTTTGCAGAAAGTAGGGAATGTCAATTGATAAAGGTGTGTGATAGTGTCATCATCATTATCATATGTAGAAACTGTAGCTAATTATTTAATCTTCTAGACTCTGATACAAGCAAAGAATGCTTTCGATTCATCTGCATATTCGACTGCTTGTAAGGACTACGATCAAAGATCAACTCTGCCATCATGGCAGATTAATATTCTCCTTAAAGGAAAGAGATCTCTGGATAGTGAAGATTTGCGATGAGCAAAATCGGATGGATTTTTTTTTAGATAGATTGATATTTATGATTGTGTGCAAGTTTTAAACATTAGATTGGTATTATTCAAGCTCTAAATTAACCATCGGTGATTATGAATTCATCTGATATTTTAGTGTACAACTCTTCGGAAATGAAGTATAGTAAGTAATTTACATATTTTGATAAATTTCATTCTATTGATGTTAAAGATGCAACCGACGATGAGAAACAAACATGTAAACTCGCTCCCACCTTGAGAGCAATTGACTATTTCGTTGCTGTGATCGAGTAGAAAGGGAAGGAGAAGAAGGAGGAGGTAGTAATGCGGGAGAAGGTGTTGGGACAGCAGAGGATGATGATGAGGATGATGATGATGATGACTGGCTACTGTCAGTTGTGTTATCTGACTCTTCCAAGACCTTCGGAGGTCTACAGTCAAACTTGCAAAGTGGGCACTTTGATGATTTTTCAGTCAACCATGGGTCTAAAGATAAGCAAAAATATATGAATAATTGGGAACATTGTATGCTCTTACGACCCTATAACGATAAATAAAAAAATCATCACTTACCAATACAATCTGTATGGTACTCGTGCTCACAAGGCAGACATCTCAACTCATCGTCATTTGCAAAATCTTCCAGACAGATAGCACACGTGGTATTCGATATCATATGAACATTCACATGGGGCACATATGACGAATCACCCTCTTCTTTTGTTAGTTCCATTTGCGACTTTTCATCGTCAATGGGAACAACGACGTCTGTTGTCTCTTTTGCAGTAGACGCGGTCTGGATTGTTTTTTCGCTGACGGGAAGTGTGTCTGAAATGGAACCAGGTTGCTCCGTACTTGGCGGTAAAGACTGTCGTGAATTATTAGTTTCTTTCACATCACGCGTTGGACTATCAGATATAGAATCTTCGCTAGAATTTTCATTAGAATTGTCACCAGAATCTTCACTAGACTCTTCACTAGAATCGAAGAGATCAGCTATACTATCTGACATGTCCGTTTCACTCTCTTCGCTTCCAGGCCCATCTCCATTCTCCCTTGCTCCTTTCCCGTTTTCTCTCTGTTCCAGCAGAGCACTAATATTACTAGATTTGGTTGTTCTACTTGAATCCGATAAATAGATACTATGTACATTCCCTCCATTGCCTCGAGATTTAGTATTAGCTTTGTTTTCCGCAGATGATACGTCATCAGCAGCAACAAATTTACGAGTGGGAAACGTGTCGAGTATGGACTTGTCAAGTTTTTCGCTTTTGGTAGCATTTCCGAGAGCAGTTTGTGGAGTTGTTGCTGGGTTGCTCACGCGGAAACGATCCAGAACGAAGTTTATGCAAACTTTCAAATATAGAGAGAGAATGAGGAAGATGGGAGTGATTAAAAAGGGAGAAAATTTTTAAGATTCCTTAATTAATCATGGGTCGTAAAAATGCATATACTTACATGAAAGTCCAAAGGCAAAGAAAACGGTAACTAATATCCCAATAAAAGTAACTTCCAAAATCATGGAAATACTTCCAGAGCTAGGATATAATGCAACCACTAATTGCGTCCCTATCAACGAAGATTTGTCTGCAAACGTATTCCTCATGTCAAGCATCTCTTGTGCTATATCTTTAGTGACATAATATGCAGATATATCTACTGTGTCAGATAGAATATCTTGATCGCCGGGTATGTAACCTGTAGAGCTGTAAACTATTGCCCCGGTTACGGCGTTTTGGGCATTTCTGAGGTTGGTGAGTTGAGTGGTCAGAGAACAGGTCGAGTTGGTTTCAAAGATGGCTATCAAATCAACTTGGTTTGCATCCTCTATCTTTACAGACGAGTTACAGAGATCTGAGACCTCTATTAGTACGCCCTGAAGGTAATGAATAAATATTTGAACAAAGATTAATGATTAGAAACATTGAAATGTGTATATTATGACGGCAATGTATTATTACTGATATATGACCCACTCACAGACATTAACTTACCGTATTTCCTGATCTTGACACAGGAGCTGATTTGGCGATGTTCTTCACAACGTCGCTACCGGAGAATGTCTTCTGTTCGGATACATTCGAATTCTGTATTTCATTTTTACCGGTGATAAAGAAAACTTTTGCAAATATGTACTCGGGCTGCGACTTTAGTGAAAATGCAGACACAGTCTTCGTAAGTAATATTCCAAGAATGAAAAAGTGGAGGAAATAATGAACAAGCATTGTATTTTTTTTGTCGAATGTACAAAAACGGGCGTAGTGTATTATACAGAGGAGAGAATCTGACTAGGCGTAATGAATTTTTTTGTGACGTCTTATGTACTATGAGAGTGTTTTATGGAATGGCGAATACATTTAGCGTGAAAAAGGAGTTAGGATACAAAAAAGAAAATATAATCATTCGTTTATATAAAGCATAGGATAGTAAGTATCTGTATTACGCTAAATATTATTTTATTGTTGTTTCAGGTATTTATACTCGGACTACTTTACCAATATCGACAAGTCAGGGATTCTAAACCATGCCAGGATCAGTAAGAAGTATGATTGTGCGTCTTTATAGGGAAACGATGGGCATGCCAAGGTAAGGGCAAAATAAGAATGTGTCACCGTCTGTTGGTCTGCTGATAGTGCGGCAATATTTGGTTGCACGTGTGACGCAAAAGTTTTCTGTGAAGAAAAGCTCAGGTACGACGATGTATCAGCAAAGTTTTTTCTCCAAGTCGGTTAGTTCTGGTACGAATTGGCTTTCCTAAATAGCTGTTTATGGATGTAAAATCTTTTGTTTATTTAAATTCTTGGCTTGCAGTTGTTATTATCAGGAATAGAAAGATTTATATGGGGTATTTGTCGAGTCGATCACACGGGAGAGCGAATAGTGTTCAGCCGGGAGATTTTTTTAGCTTCTGTAAGCAAGTCTTGGCAAACCTATAATCGACACTCGTGGCTGTTGTTGATCTTGTACCCGGATCGCCATTTGACTACTACGTCAAATTTCTATAAAACCCCATTGCCTGAATTAGAATGGGTAATACTATTCCCAGAGAATTCAATCCAATGATAAATGATTTATCTATTGTTACAGATAAGAACGGAACTAATGAAAGGAACTTGAGCTAATGAGTAAAGCATGTGATCCTAAGGTTCGATATGATAATGTTTGCTAGCGAATTACAACTGCTTGTGTTTCACTAGCTACAATCTACGCAATGTCACTGATGTCGTCATAATTGTGTCGCCTGCCCGGAAATGTTTGTGCAAGTTTAACGTGAACTCAAAATAGCGAGAAATCAACCATGTTGTCCTACTTCGGTAGAGACACTTATTAAATCAACCATGTTGTATATAATTTGTAGCCGATCACCCAAAAACCTGATTTGCATGTATTATTTGTGACCGATGACCCCCTAGTTTTATGACAATGTTCATTACAATTCTGTTTCGCTTTTCTACAACTGCATCGACCGTCGAGGCATGCACCTTTACACATGCACTTGGACTGTCTACCGGACGCAGGACCAACAACGCTTTGCGCTTTCGCTGCTTCTCTCGGTGATATGTTTTCTAATTCGGGAAAGTCTGCTGTCGCCGCCAGATTTTAATTCGTTGGCTCCGTGGGTAACTTCCAGGATTCCAGAAGCACATTCCAATCCGATACGTGGAATCGAATCGAAAGGACAACTACAGATCCAACTTCAAAGTTTCGATCAATTGATTTGCTCTTGAGGAGCCAGTTTGGAATTTCCTTTCGTACGTTGGCAATGTATCTCAATACAGAAATTATCAAACAATGAGGGTAATTAATGATTTACTCCTCAATACAGAAATTATCAAACAGTGAGGGTGACACAGTAAGGACTTATCAAACAGTGAAGTCATCATGACAGTGTTGATACGATTTATCCTCAATACAAGAATTGTCAAATATTTTGGCTATATCACCCTATTAAATTACTTATACTCTACTAAGAAGATGAAGCAGATTTAGATTTATCAGTGCACAGTCAGTCTCGATAAGTCGGTTTTGGCAAAACTTTTCTACGTTCTTTTCACTATTTAAAAATTCCTTACTAATGTAAATTCTCAATAATAATAAGCTAGTCTGTCTCACGTGAAAAATGTAAACCGTAACACAAATACCTTCAATTTTAACTGGTGGATCACATAGCTTGTACGATCATTAGAATCGTATGATGTACATTTAAACATGTCATTAAAGATCATACGATTAAAGCAGTAAACGTCTAGAAAGCATCCATAATTTATTGAACTACATACAGCAATCGAATAGTTTAAACGTGATTCTCGATAAGTCGGCCATTAGGGGTCAAACCTGGTTGGCCGACTTATCGAGACTGACTGTAATATATCCTTATCGTCGTTGTATTTTTCAACTTTTATATAATAATAGTAGTCTTTATTAACAACTGTCGGGTTCGTAGATACTAAAAAGGACGAATGAATAATAAAGGATTGGAAATATAATTTTGAAACAAACACTTTTGACTTACATTTTAACAATCATCGTGTATATAATTCCGGGAATTATATAGTGACGCAAATTATATAAAATATGTTTTTTAAAATATGTGGCGCAAATCCATAAAACCTTCTGTGACAACTCGTCAAGATACACGCACTTTTGTAATAGGCACATTTTAACGTGCATACAGTGAACTCTATACACGAGAGATATTTAACCAATAAATGAATAAAGTATCGAAATCACGTGAATTTACTACGTTTTTGCATTATTCCCTAAATGTACGCTCTCTCCCAAGGCGTGCATTTAGGGAGAGTTCACTGTATTTTTCATAGCTAAGAAAATAAGCCATTGGTTAATTATTCGATCGATAGTTTAAGAGTACATAGTCGAACAACCAAGAGTATGACTTGATCATACTCTACCTTTTTACTAAACAGACATACCTTAAGTTGACATCTAGACACTGCCTTTTGCTACTCGTTGCATAGTTTTTCGAAAGTCGCTTGAGTCTTGTAAGCTGGATTTTATTTTTTGGCGATCATGCATTTTTAGTCGTCAGCTGAACTAACTTGCTTAATTCTGATCGTTGCATTCATGTGTACTTGACACAACCAAAGACTTTTTTTTTTGACCTGATTTACGCGTCTTAAAAAAGGGCTATTATAGATTTTATATAATGCATCATAATAGTAAAAATATATGGTCAAGTTACACGTTAGCAGAGATGTTATGAACATTTTATTCAACTTCGATAATAATCGTGTTTAGAGAATATCTGATATCCAAGCGCTTACTCTGCTCTCGGACTGTCTTTCTTTTGTCAGAGCATGTAGGATAGTTTTATCGTATGTTAATAATATCCCGCGTTTGGATAAATTTGGCCCAAATTTGGGGGCATTTTCCTCAACTACAACGTACTGTAAATTGGTCTTAAATGGAACACAGAATAAACGGTTACTATTCTTCTTTCACAAATGGCAGATAACTTTGGACCTCAAATTGGCACGTCAGCCGACAGCTATTTCCAATCCGATCGCGATGTTGCTATACAACAAAGCAGAGCCGCAAAAAGCGGAAATAATTTCGGCGAGCCAATAAAGTGTTCTTCCAAGGTCTTGTGTATGCTCCTCCTAACGACTCCAGATGTCTATGCTTATGTTGGGGAATCGGGTTTTCTGGCTAGAAAGATAAACTTGGCGGTATGCGCTTTAGTGATTGTCATAGCTCTCGAGATCACAATAATGGAGATACTAAAAAGGTTGAGGCTTTCAGTAGACTGGCAAGACTGTCAAATTCTTTAAAGGACACACTGGGCCTGTTACTTGCATTGGTGTGTGGTTTTACAACGGCAACGAGTATCTTATAACTGGATCATGGGATAAGACGTTACGTAAATGGGACACCAAGGTGTGCATTTTATTAGATATCAATTGCCCTTTCGATGAAGTGTCTTGCATTGTATTTTTTGGATTTCAAATTACACGTTCTCTTTGATCTAATCTCTCCGTCTATTATTGTTAGACAAAGGAAACGGTCAATACATTTTCAGCTCATACAGACTTTGTTAAATCTATGGCAATTGCACGTAATGAACCCATACTGTATTCAGGATCATCTGACAAGAAAATTAGATCATGGAATCTTGTAACAGGCGAAGAGTTGCGCTCCTTCCAAGGACATACTCGTGGAATAGAGGACTTGGGCTTGGATGAGAGTGAACAGTATCTATATTCTGCATCTTCCGATAAAGATATAAGAAAATGGAATACGAGTACGGGGGATTGCTTGCAAGTTTTTGATGGGCACTTGACAAGTGTATATTGCTTGAGATTATTTGACGAAGAGATGTGGACGGGTGAGTCGTCATCTGAAAGTTTATTAATGAAGCGCTATCTATATTAAGTCTTTAAACGTTATGATATTTATTCTACATCTTGAAGCATCCGCCGATAAGACTGTCAAACGATGGGACCTGGTTGTAAGTGTCCGTCCACCAATAATACCGATCGATGCAATTGGCAAGCCTCAGCTAATTTAAGCTCTCCGTTAAATTGATAAAGACAGGGAAACCTGATACTTCCCTTGATCATCCGGATTTCGTCAAGTGCTTGGTTGTAGTGGAACCTTATGTGATAACAGGAGGACGAGATGAAGACATTCGGATATTTGAGATTGCGGTAACGTCCTTGGCGGGAATAGTGTAATTTATATTGACAAAGAGATGCTAAGTCTCATTGTCGGTTTATAGTCTGGAAAGCTTGTAAAGAAGATTGAAGGTCACTTTGATGAGGTATCGTGCATGGCTGTACATGGAACAACTTTATATACCGGCTCGTTAGACTGTACAGTGAGAAAATGGAGTATTGCTGGTATGAAAACGTTTCGCAGTTATCTCTTGAGAAATCACTCGTTTCTCGTAAAGCTGTCCAGTAGATTTAATTTGATTGTTACTTATTCCGTGCAGCCAAGGATATCCAACCATCAACCGAAGCAAAAGTCACAAAGACAGTAGAAACCAAACCCACAACTTCTATCATGACTGCGGAAGAAGAAAAAGAACTAGCAGATTTATTAGGAAGTGATGAAGAATGAGCTTGTACTGTCGACATTGTTTTGTAAGTTTATTTTCGGTCACAAACCTGTTCGTTTAATCATTATTTGACTAATAACATATTGACTAATACACCTCCGCACACCTCCACAAAAAAATGGAATAGCATGTTCCATATTATCTGATACAGATACTTTGGTGAAAATACCGTCCAAATGAACAGATGAGTTTTTAAAATGGTTACGGCAATCGATAGAGATAACAATACGATGCCATGAAACAATGTCGAATCAAACAAGTACTCCAACAACGTTCGCCCAAATAAATTATTTCTAATTGGATCTTTTTCTTTGGCTATTTTGTCTACATTAAATACTCGGTTATGGATCACTACCCCAGCAAAAGCCCACCAAATAGGTCCAGCCCAGTTTGCAATGAATGTCAAAAGACCAACCGTAGCTTCATCATATCTGTTGACACCTGTGTAGGCGTGACTGATGTCTATTGACGCTAAGGAATTTGAATTTCCGAGGGCAAAGAATGACATGTGCTCTAACACAATGAGAGTGAAATGATTAGCAAATTTCGGTAACGATGAACCGGAGGATGATATTTTTTGTTGCCATAAAATCCAGAGCTTCATTTGCATCGCAAATAGTGCAAAAAGTATAACATTATGTGGTTTGGCAAGAAGTATAAGAAGATATGTTACTGAACATAATAGGATCATCGGTATTGTAGTTTGTTCTCCTTGTAGAAAATACGTAGAATATAATTAGCTGGACTTTCTCCAAAAGCAATTATGACAAGATTGAGATTGGAACACACCTTTCTGCGCGTTGTTGTTATGAACCAAATCGGTTATTACAGCAACTCCCACGAAACATAGTAATGCAGCATATACAAATCTTGCAACCGCAAACGGTTTCAAATAATGACCAGCAAATCGCGAGAATGGCTGACAAAACGCGGGCATCACAGCCCTGCCGCCATCCATATCCAGCTTATATTCGACTACCAATACTGTCATCAGGAGAACCAGCAATGAAGCCAGACATTGTAGCATTACCAATATCTTGCGAGACTTGGCATTTGCCAAACTCCATATTTCCTCGAGTGTGATTAAGAAGAGTGCAATTACGACTATAAAAACTATAAACCACATCGTATGGACATACGATGAATTTAGATAATATTTCAGGTCTATTAAACCCGCGTATTTCTGACCTATGAAAAGATAACGCGCGATTAGTAATGGTTGATGAAATATCAAACCAATAAACTTGTAATTACCCGTCTGATTCCATGTACGTATCAAACGTACAAGTAGCATCTGACCGATACAGAAGATGATCGATTTCTTATCTATATTATTTTTGAGACTGACAAACATGTCGCTCATTAGTACCGTCTCTTCTAGTGTTGATATGCGGGGAGGATTATTTACCTATCATGCAACCATATGACCCACATTGTCTGCATCCAAAAATACCAAAACTGATGCTCCTCTTCAACGTAGCTGCTAGCAAACATGACGATTGCTAAAAGCACGATTCCAATCCATGAAAAAATTTGAGTGGTCTTCCAACCTCCAATATCCTGGTTGTTTGATTTGCCGAAAATAGCATATGAACTATCCATTGCAATGCTCGTTAAACAAACGACCGTTATTAGAATGCATCCTATCCCCATGGACATCGAGCCGAGATTATATTCACTGAATGTTGCCGATAGTATAGAGCTTGCTTCGCTAATAAACTGAATAGCTTAGGTAAGAATTCCAAACAGGTTTAACAAGCAAGTGTCTATGAATTAAGTGACATACCATCTGATAAGATCGAATTGCTTGATCGACAGCATTCTTGTCTCCACCCTTGAGAGCCAATGCATGGTAATAATAAGCAACTTTATATAAACACTGAAGTCTATCCTGATCATTTTCTTCTTCTCGAGGACAATGCAAGTGAAAGTCTAATGCTGTCACTACAACCACGTCGGGATGTCTATTAAACGAAGCCCAGTTTGATGTCAAAATTCCTGCAATCTGGTGAGCGTTCAGTTGGAGTGCTCGCAGCTGATCGAATACTAAAAACACATTAGTAAGTGTGGACATGGAAAACATCATTCGATATAATTGCATTCATAAGTTCTAACCATCGTGATCACTTAAAACGTCCAGCAGCATTTTACCGAGACTGTTCTTGGGTATTGGAATCCCAAATAAATAAGAAAGTGTAGGAACTAGATCCACTTGATTTACAACTTGGTAATATTGAAAGTACGGTACATTATGAGGTACTGTAAAGGTTTGAGGTACCGCTTTAAAAAAGCCGTATTCCGAACTCATAAAGACGAGAGCCTGTATTAATAGAGTCTTTTAATTCAGGCATTCCTTACTTAATAAAGTATACGATGAATGCTGATACTTACGGTTGTAATTTCCCCTGCGGATGAGCCACCGTGATTTCCTGCCTTTCAAGGTGCAACACAGTAAGTTATATATAACGTAAAGTTTAATTTATCATATTTTGCTCAGCAATGTACCTCGTTCATTCCATGATCTCCACCAAGAATAAATAGCGTGGGCTTGGCATTAGGGTTCAGTCGTTTCCTTTCTTTATCTTGCTCTGTAATTGTGTCGTAAATGACTTTGACGACATTGTCCATTTCCTGCTGTTTGGGTGTCATTAATGGACTTTTGGCAATAAATTGGATGATCAAAATCGCGTTTGGCTGGCTGGTACCACTGTTTCCCCAAGTGAATCTCTTTTCTTGATAACATACCTACGTGGTCCACTCAAATGACCAACATGATCTAGACCAAGGTAGTGAAATATTAACACGTCCCAGTCATTTCTTGTCAGCTGAGGTATGACATTTCTGGTCACGTTCAAATCGACTTCAACTGTATCCTAAAATCATTCAATTGCATTAGCACGTTTGACAGAACAGTAGATATGTTTCTCTGAATCAGAGAAAAGGGAAATGGTGGTTCTTCATATATATGTGAAACTGAAGCTAATACTTGAGGATCACGCGTTGTTATCTCACAAAGCATGTAGATATTTACATACCGAAACAAAAAATGATGTCGTTCCATCAATTCTGTCAAATAATCCAGGAAACAATTTTATCCAAGTGTCGTCACCAAAAAATGATATAGACTTGTTGGCCGAATTCTTTAATTGAACAAGCCAGTTGTCTTGATACGCGAGCGAAGTAGAAGTGTCTGATTCGGCAATATTCAATATTGCATCAAGAAAGTTGGGTACGGTGCCTGCGAACGATTCATGTCAGCAAGTCTTGCTTAAACAGTTATCAGCGTCAAATATTTCAGGACTTTTACCTGTTGTAAGCGCCTTGATACGTGGTAGTGTGACAGTGGGAGCTGTGGCCAGTGCAGTAAATGGAATTGCATGACGATTGATGATCAGGCTACGAAGTTCCCAAATCAATCAAAAAATTACTGAACTCTCTCAAGTAGACTAACGAAATTGATACGCAATCACAAATACCTTTGGACAAATTTCATCTCTGAACTTTCACCAAACACGAAATCACTACTCATAAAGACAGAACGACGTTCGCATGATCTTGCCTTATATCACACTGGAGGTTGAACCAGACAAGTGACAATTACCTCCTCAATGCGTCCACCAGCATAAAAACGAGTCTATCAAATGATGGCTTTGGCGTCGCATTTCCATGTTCTGGCAATGGGGGGATGTCATTCAGAGTAGCAAATCCAGACAAGTTTGTCTTGTATGGAAAGAATCCTTTAGCAAAAAGACCTAATCCTATTGTCTGTACGATCAAAAGTAATGCTAACGACGCCCATGATTTGGTGAACATTGTTAGACCGAGGTTTGGAAACTTTCACATCAGATAGAAAAATAGTAGTGATCTGCATAGAACTTATTCTGACTAGGTTATATTTAGTAATGCTTGTCGTCGTTGGTTGTTACGATACAGATTATTCATATCACGTGTTTATTGATTTGTTTTCTCTGACCATTTATTTTAGACTCGATTTTCGCGCCATTATAAAGTACAACAGCAATCCAAAATTTTTGATCTCATTGTCTCAGAACCTAAAAGAAAAATGGGTAAACCAAGTACTGTATCTTGTCTCGATATTACTAGCCAGACTCGCTATTTGCAATACCGCATTCCATGTTGCGTCACTCTAATGTTTACTCACTCGCCCGCTTACGCTCTTAAACCAACCTTTTTCAGAGAAGCTATCTGGTAGCGCTCAATCGACCTTGATGCAAATACAATCATCGTCAATGATATCGAAAAGAAAAGAAGGCAAGTTAAACTCGAATAGCATTGCCAAAAAGTTAGTATCAATGCAATTGGACGCTGCTCTGTTAGCACCCATTGTGAAGATGGAAGGCATTGGTGGTAAGCAAGTGGTGAGTTATTATGCAACGATGCCGCCAACTCTTTCCTTGTTCACGTTTACCATTTGAAAATTTCAGAATCCAAACAGGACCTTCCATTACCGTCCCACAGAATAAAGAAGACAAAAGCAAAGGTTGGACGTCGTAAGTCACATAAGAAATTGCGAAGGAAGGTTGAGAGAGCCTTGGTGAATATGGATAAAACCGAGGTTAAAGTTGCTAAGAGAGTTGAAAAGACTTTACGAAAGCGACAGCTGAGAGATACTTGAAAGTGTAATGGAAAATGGGATCGATTTACAAAACTTGTCTGGCTGACGTGTTTGTCACAAACCGTTTTTCAAGATGGTCGTTGGCGGTGAGTTATTAGACGATGACGATGGGGAGACTCTATTTGAAGTTGATTAGTACTTGATTTCACTTATTATTACGTTTATTTCAACCTGTTTTGCCACTACACACCAATGAGAGCAATACTAACGTGTAGGATATTATAAGGTGCAAAGTTGCTTTTAACGACATTGCGTATTAATTGCATTATAAATAGACGTGTTATTGTTCTTATTTGTTTGTTTTTAGTTTGATTAGAAATTATTGAGTTTGTCTAGATTCACTAACAATTAAAAATCACGCTCTCATGGTTAATGTTTATTGTCATGTTTGTCTTCTGTCCTAGTTGAAACTCTATCCATCCATTTTCCCAATCCTTGAATACCACCTTCACACGTGTTGCAGGATATGCTGCAGCTTTTTAATATGCTTGCGATTTAGATAACCCGGAATAATCAAGTATATAATGTTATTAGTTAGCTCAAAGCTTCTCTGATGAAATTCTTTTTAATCGATCCTGCGCCTGAAGTTCTTGATGTTCCAAGAACAATATTATTATAAAGAAACGGCACTGGACGCGGTCAAGAACAAAAGATCCCAGAGAGTTTTCAAGTTTATTTTTTCTTGTAATCTAAATTAATGCTATTATTTCAATAGCTTATAGTATGTCTATTATAAATTTACCCAGATATTAGAAAGGTAATTAATACCCATCGAGAATGAGATGCTTTTCGCTGTCCACTGTTGCTATCCACGAGTGAACTTGCCGTAGATGTGAAGCAAGAACACAGATCCGATGAAAGCAAGAGCTATGATTATGACTGCCACTGGGTCACTAAATGACAATCAAACAATGCAATGTGAATAAGCAGTATATATTATGGGATGAAATGGTAGATGCGTCATTTGCTTACACTTTAAGTCCAGGAGAATCATCAGTGTAGAATTTCAGCATAGTTGCTGAGCTACTAGCTCTGTTAGTTATAGCACCTCCTCCTTGACGTCTCCTATAAGAGATCAGACGGAATACGAGTTACGGCATAGAACCGTTTAAGCGGGTCTCTAGTGCACTCATCCAATTCTTACCTCAAGGAACCTTGTGATCCAGATGGTTCGGCCTGTATGATGGGAAGTCAACCGGTTAGTTACAAAGAATACTCGTGCATCAGTTATTGGAATAAAGCGTTATTATTGTCATTAGATCATACCATTCCTAAACGAAAGTGGGTATTAAGGTTTCGTGTATATACGCGAGTAACGCTTGAGTATCGAAAGGTGGACAAACGGCTTAAAGTAACAGTAAGACTTGAGATCCTTCAAAAACTCAACTTACTTTTTTACTTATTTGTGTTAATTCTATGTATACGAGGCATTGAATGATTGGTTTATTTGCATACATTAAAGAGTAAATGCTACAATTGGTCGACATGGTCATCTGACTTGTTTAAAAAGGGGGGCACCTATTGACACCCCCAAATGCAGAAATGACGAAAACGCGAGTCATGAATTATGAGCGCTTATTTAATAGAGGCACACTGGAAGGTCATAAAGAGAGACTCTTGGTTACGTACGAACAGTGATTGTATGTCGTATGTAAATCCCGTCACTATGTAAAATCCCGTTTGGGGTCCCTAAAAGCCGCATTTACATATGTTCTTTTTTTTGCATACAATTCCAATGTTCCTCGACCTGGAGCATTAATGGTAGAAAAGTTAAACATTGGAATAAATCAACAGCATCACTGGCTTGAAACAAGTACTGACTTTTTCAAGTGTAAGCCGACAAGAAATATATTCATTCCTGCATCATTTAGCCTACCGTTGCATCCAGAATGTGCCGTGTTTAGAATGGAATAAACATTTAGAATTAGAACATTGAGGTGTAAAATCAACATCCTAACCTGTTCATATCCCTTATTTCTTTTGCGTGGGGTCAAATTGCTACTAATTTGAAAAAGTTTACTTGTTGCTTCTCAAGCAATTTTCTTTTTTCCTCAATCAACTTGATTCTTGCAGAAAGATTCCAAAACCGATCTATTGCCCTTGAATTTTTTTCGCGCTCACAAAGTTCAAAGAACTAATACTATTATCGCAGGTAATCTTCAAATACTTTTCGCCTTTATTCAATTTCTTAATTCCATCAAATACCAGGCTCAGTGTGCCATTAGGATAATTTCGTCTTCATCGAGAACGTAATTAATTTGTTCGCGTACTGCTTCATCTTGGATACCAAATAAATGCACTTTACGCGGACTGAGATAATAAATTTTACTTACTTGTTGATCGGAATGGGGTACGTGAACGTTTTGTGCTCAATCGTAACTATAATGAGCAGTAGCGTTAATGCTACAATAATCAGCTTTACCTCTCGTCATAAAATGCTCATTTACTAATTTTTTCTGTTGTTCTGCTAATTTTGTATTCTTGTTGTAATAATTTCTCTCTAACTTAGCCTTAAGTAAATTTTTTTAGTAAATCTTTCGCTTCTTCTTCCTTACGAGCATTATACTGTAAGCCATTCCGAAAATGTTGGCACGTGTCACATAAATCCGTTCTTGGGCTCATGATTTGAATATACGGCGTTAATTGGTGCCATAACTTGCGGAACGCATCATATATTTTAACAAGTTCAACGTGCTATCGTTTTCGAGACCTGTAATAAAATTATGATAGACCGATTTATAACTCGTTTCAGCTGGCAAAAGTGTAAGCGGTTGAGTAATGCGATTGACGTTTCTACCAGGACTTGGTAGTCCGTAAATTTCAGCATAGTTTTCGAGAAAATTCTTCACGGCGGTAGCAACGGTTATATCAATAGTTTCCATCGCGGTACTCGTTTGATGTTACCGTGAATGCGCGGTATTATACCATTCGTGGCTAGATGATTTCTGACGTTTTTGAAGTGAGTGCGACCAATTCCTAACATACTGAGATACGTTTTCTGACAAAGGGGCGTATTGCGATCTCAATAATAAAAGGTTTTTTTATTAATACGCGTTTTCTTTTTAAGACGTCGACTGGCACTTATTTCATTGCTTTCAGTTGGGCCATTAAAAATATATCTTGTTCAGATCTAGAGAGAGCTTGAAACGCTTCACGTAATTCAGCAAACCCTTCTCTCAAAATCATTTTTGAACAACCACAATTGCAACCTACCTCCAGAAAACGCATGGCTTTTTCATATTCAGAGCCGTTATAATTATAATTTTCCATATACGGGTATTTCTATATATAAATTTTATGCTTCAACAATTTGTTTAGTTTATTGATTTCTTTCATTTCATTTGTCCTTCTTACTATTAGTAATGGTCTTTTTACAAACTGAGAAGAAAATTGGTAACTATTGTATTAAAAAACTCAATCAAACAATTAATATTCTGTTTTGATAAGTTTCTCATTATGTTATAATGCAGTGATAGTAAAATGCAAAAAAATTGCAGAAGATATATAAGGGACAGAAATAACACTCAAACATATACATAATCTCGCACTACATGAAAGAAGCTAACAAGGAAACAGCTGAGGATCATCACCGCGTAAGGTAAGTAACATCTCCTCCTTGCCATGTCGAATGATAGTCATGGTGCTGTAATCATCTGTATATAGAGCATACCAAACATTCAGATTCAAATTTTTGATGTCTGGCCTCAAGGAATTGTGTCTGAAGTCGATGATAGCCCAACTTGAGAAAGGAATTTGTCTGTACCTACCAGTTGACCTAAAACAATCAATGTGATCACCCATCCTTTGACCCTCTCGCATTAACTCCACTCCCCATTTGAGTCCTCCATTGATATAGAAATCAAGAAATCCTGATGAACCAAACAGCTTGCCAACATCAGGACTGATTGTATGGCCCCCTGGAATGGCTGTGCTTGCAGCCATCATCCATGCTTTCTGCCATGCTCTCTCAAGTAGATGGTTGTTTGTTCCATAGCTAAGAGATTTGTGCAATTCTGAAGGTCGCATACGCTCGATGCTGGTTTGTAGAAAAGCTTCAAAGCTTACACCTGGCTCCAAAGTTAGTGGTGAAGTATACAGGCGCTGGCCCATGATGATTCGGACAACTGGGGCTGCAAACTGTAGCCGGCTTCTGCCTGAATAAGTTACCAAGCCAGAACGTGTGAGCCTTCTAAGAGCTTCCTGCATCTCAGCAGTCTTTGTATCTACAATAAAGGTTGAATCATCATCCAGTGTATCATATGCTGTTTTCAGAAATTGGGTATCAGCTGGAGTTGGCTGCCACTTTGCCATCCAATCAAACACTCGCGTTCTCTGTATCTCAAGGAAATAATCATATGAAACTATAGAAAGTCGTAGGTCATCACCTTTGAAACCACGTCGATACTGCCGTTGTAGGTATTCCAAGGTCCGCCTTACTAAGTGAGGGTGTCCACGAGTTGAATTGTAGACAGATTCAAGTAGATCATCAGGTATAGTGAGAGGATTTTCTTCATCATCAATATATTCAATAAATTTGCTTTTTAGGTCTTTAAACTCATCATTTGTAAGGCGTAATTCGTCCAATCCCATTGGGTTAATGAAGTCAACTGGTGTATAATTGTCCTTACAGATAGCACTTCCTGGGCTTCGATCCTCATACATGCTCAGTAGGAGTACGTGTAAGCCATCTTTTGGGTGGTCAGTATAATATTTCATGTCATTCCAAAAAGCCAAGACTCCATCACCATCGTAGAGCATCTGGGCCTCGTCAATGAGGACAAATATCGGATCATTGCTGTTGGTGCATTCAGTCCACGTGCACTGAACTTCTTTTCTCCAGAATGCATCAAAGGTCTTATTGTTATGTAGGAGATCAGGAAACTCGTCTCTATGCCAGTGCGCAAATGTGATATATTTGACTATGAAACCTTGATCCTTAAAACGTCGTTCGAGCACTTTGGCAAGCGTTGTCTTGCCCGAGGAGGGTGGGCTGCGTAAAAGGTTGATTTTGTATTCACTCCAGTTTTGACAAATTTTGTTTTGGCGGCTTTCCGAAATGACAATCAGACCAGCAGCTTCTTCATGTGTACGCTTTGTACCTTGAGGTAATACTGATTGCATGTTAATGGAGGCATAAGTTAGCATCACGAGCGCATGGGTGAAGTCTACTCCAATACCATTCACTGACAAATTCATAGCATATTACTATGTCTACTCTACCCTATGTACACACTGCTCTATGTCCCCAACACCTGAGTCACAAAGTCATTACCTGGTTGAGCTTTTGCAGCCGTGAGTCTGTCCTGTAACAGACGCACTTGTTTCTCCCAGTCCTCCTTCGCCTTCTCCAGGCTCACTTGCCTCTTCTCCAGCTTGTCCCTTTCCTCCTTCCACTCGGCTCGCTGCGTTGGAGTCCCTTCGTCGTTCCGTAACCTCCCCTTCAGCACTTCCAGCCACTGCCCATCTACTCCCTCCTTAAACTCTTTCAACGCTGCCTTCGCGTCTTCCAACTCCTTCTTCGCATCGTTCAATTCTTGCTCAGTTCTTGCAGCCATCTCTTGTTTATTTTGTTTTCGATGAGATGATGCTGTGCAACGTGATCTAATATACTAACCAGTGGCTTAATCGTATGCAGAATGCGACCAATGATAATCAATGCGCAGAAATTCGCGTTTGTCTAATGAACAAACAGATATCACAACGCAATAAATATCATTGAAGCAATACATCGTTTAAAGTAAAAAACAAATCTGTCAATTTTCACCATAACACTACGAAAAATGCTTACATTTACAAGCGAATTCTTTGTTGGAGTATTTATTGGCTTCGCTCTCGGCCTGTGGCTAAATAGTATACTTTATAATGGTCGGCCTAATAATACGGGAGCTTTAATTCAAAGGATGAAGTTACAATCCATAACAAAACTGTCAGCGGCGAACAAAATCTACCCACCAGAAATCGAAAAGTTGTGGAACGATCTAAAGCGATTATACGACAGAAAAACTGTATCGGATCCAAAATTTTTATTTAATAAAATATCGTTTGAAATTTACAAGTTATTTGGTAAAGGAAAAGCTGTTGCAACTTCCACAATACGAAATTTTTATCTTCGACGAACGACTCCGCGGAAGAAGACTATTGAGGTAATTCAACGTTGGATTGACGAAGAAATGAAGGAATATGTAAACCACTCAGATGGAGACAATGAAAAAAAAAATAGATGATAATTATAATGTTATTAGTAATAGCAATGATAAAAAAGATTCCGA